ACTATGTCGTTACCTTCTATTTGTGAGTGACCTGGGATCCATGCGATAGCTATGTTCGAGCCGTTGTTATTTGCGATTAGAAGAAGTCTTCTAGTTTTTATGGACATATAATCCCTGAGGGGGTGCAAATCAGTATTTTTAATCTTGCCTATGGCAGCCTGGGAGTCTGAAAAAATTATCACGTTTTTCAAGCCTTTCTTTAGAATCACTTTGATTGCCTCGTATATGGCCGTTATTTCGGCCATACAGATGGACATGTTATTTGGAAGTCTGGATGAGAAATCTAGTTTAATTTTTGGTATATGTATTCCGAACCCGACCCTTGATTTCTTTTTTGACGCGTCCGTGTAAACGAAGGTATATGAGTTTCGGAATGGAGCGGTAGAAAATCTGAAATTTTGATTTTGAGAGCCTTCGTTTTTTTTTTAAACCCAGTTCTACCGTTTTGATTGGTGTGATTAGGAAGTCCATTTTTATGTCGAAAATGGGGTAGTGGGCTGTTCTATGAAGTTTATTAATGTGTGGAAGAAAATAATTATAGGCTTGTACTAGATAGGGTGAATCGTTATTTTTCCAGAAGTTTGCATTTTTGGCACACCTACTTTTCAGTTGTTGAATTATATTAGTTAGGGGGTGGTTGTTTATAGTCAAAATTTTACCTATAAATTGCGTGGCTAGTGTTTTCCTACGGTTTTCCAAGTCAAACTCAGCGGCTTCGGCCAAAAGCGCATTAGTGGGGGTGGATCTCATGCAACCCAGAGCCATTCTAATAGCCTGCATTTGTACTGTGTCCAGTTTCCTTAGAAATGTCCTATTACAGGGTTTAATAAAGATTGAAGCAAAGTCCAAATGTGATTTAATAAGCCCATTGTACACCATCAGTAAGGATTTGGGATCCGCTCCCCACCATACTCTGCTGAATATCTTCATTATGTTTATCCCTTTTTGTGTTTTTGCTATTAGCAAATCTATGTATTTATTCCATTTAAGGTTTTTCTGTAGGATAATGCCCAGATATTTAACTTCGTTTTTGAAGTTTAAATTTGTGCCATTTATTACTATTGTGGGAAGGTTTGTGGATCTGGGGTTCTTGGTGAATAAAATTGGTTCACATTTTGTAGTTGAAAGTTTTAAATTGTGTTCTGAAAGCCAATTGCAAATTGTGTTCAGAGCGTTGCTCATTATTTCGGTCATTTCCAATGCATTTCTCCCTTTAATGTACACCACTAAGTCATCTGCGTAGCCGATTATTTTCACCCCTGGAGGAAGTATAAAGAATATGTCTCTAATGTATACGTTGAATAACATAGTACTTATGGGTGATCCTTGTGGTAATCCAGAGTTCGTTAGAACGGGGCCCAAGAATTTTCCGTTTCTGTTTTTTGAGAAGAGTTTCCGTTCGGCTAGTATTTTCAGAATTAAGTTTGCTAATTCGCTAGGGATCTTTGCCTCGATCAATTTATTGTATAATTTGAAAATGTCTACATGGTCGTAAGCCGCTTTAATATCTAAGAATATAGCAAGAGTTAGAAGGTTCTCGCTAAATGCCAAGTTAATCTCTGTTGTAAGAAGGGCTTGGGCATTCTGGGTGCCTTGGGCTTTTCGAAATCCTGTCTGAGTCCATGGGAAAAACAATTCTTTTTCCAGTGCCCATTCTATTCTGGTTTTGACCATTATTTCAAGGGTTTTTTGCAGCACTGAGGAAAGCACAATGGGGCGATAGCTGTCTGGTAGAGACGGGTCCTTGTTTGGTTTTAAAAGGAAGAGTATAGCGTATTGTTTCCAGGATTGGGGAATTTCACCCCCTAAGAGTATTTCATTGTAAAGACCT